CACTTTTAATTTGTATATTTAAGATAAAAATTAGATAAATATTATATTAATTTTAACATTAAATTAATGACACAAAAGAAGGAAGTTCGATTGCGATAGGTGCAATTCTTTTCTTCAAAAAATAAAATAAATAAAATTTTAACCCAATCATTTTAATCACTGAGGTGATCTCCCAATGGCAAAAGTGACTGAAAATTTCCTTTAAGTTTGTGTTCAAACCCTAGGTGGCAAATTTAGAAATAATTTTCCAAAAGTTTTACACTATTTGATTTAACGGTTTAATGGTTTGTATTGATCCAAACAGTTTTATCGATTTTGAATGGTTCAACCACTTTACCGATTCTAAATATTGACCCAATCCGTTTATAGTACCGAGGATCGGTCCGACTGATTCAACCGGCCAGTCCGATTGGTTTTTCAAACAGTGATAATTAGTACTCTTCCACCCACAAAACCTGCCATCTACTATTGAGTGCTGATAAATGAAGCAACCAAACAGCTCAGACTCAACAGTTGATAAGAGTTCAGAGATTACCATCTTTTAAGTCTTGAAAGTTGAAACTTGCACTAGGTAGAAGACGAAGAGAAGCTTTACAAAAACAAAAATGCAATTCTATAAAACACATGCCAGCTTCTGAGCTACTAAGTCAGAGTCCAAGGAAGATGCTAATGAGAGTATGAATTTGGAGCACAATTGCATTCGTTGAAATGCATAATGAATTATGGCAACATGCCGCAATGAGCAACCATGTAAATCGTACAAAAGAAGGATGAGAGCCCCTTGACATTGTAGTATTACAATCTTACACCATAGAGAAAAACAAACTAGAGAAATAAACGATTGCTTTACAAATACAAGTATATGAACTACCTAAAGAACATAACATTTTCTCCAACAAGATGGAGCTCTAAAATTTTACTGAACGATAGCACAAGCAACGGAAAATAAAAATGACATTGAATCATTAGATGAATATTATCCAACTAAATTAGACATGAGTCCAAAGCGGTACAAAACTGCAAACTGTATAACATATAAACGTTAAAAGTCCTGAAATGGTGAAGCTAAATGCATAACCTTGACATCAAAGTTTGAGAAATCTCTCAAATAGAAATTCACATTTGTTGTCCTGCCAAAGTTTCGGGACATTACTCAATGATTGACTGAATAATACCAGCTCCAACTGTCTTCCCACCCTCTCTGATAGCAAATCTCATCCCTTGCTCACAAGCCACGGGCATAATGAGTTCAACAACCATCTTTACACGATCACCCGGCATAACCATCTTAGACTCCTCGTCCTTATCATTCACAATTGCAGCCACTTTCCCAGTCACATCGGTAGTCCTCATGTAAAATTGCGGCCTATAACCAGAAAAGAATGGTGAGTGCCTTCCACCTTCTTCCTTCTTCAACACATACACAATTGCAACAAACTTTGTATGTGGGGTAATGGTTCCTGGCTTAGCCAAAACCATACCTCTCTGAATATCATCCTTCTGAACACCCCTAAGCAACAACCCCACATTATCCCCAGCTATAGCCTCATCGAGGGTCTTTTGAAACATTTCTACCCCAGTTACAGTGGTGTTCCTTGTGTCCTTCAAACCAACAATATCCACAGTTTCTCCCACCTTAATAGTACCCCTCTCCACACGTCCTGTGGCCACAGTTCCACGACCAGTGATGGAAAACACATCTTCAATTGCTAATAAGAAGGGCAAATCCGTTTGTCTTTGAGGAATTGGTATATAACTATCAACAGAATCCATGAGTTCATAAATCTTATCCACCCACTGATTCTCACCCCTCCCGATGTTAGGATTAGCCATCAAAGCCTCTAAAGCTAAAAGCGCAGATCCAGAAATAATTGGAACATCATCACCTGGGAACTCATAGCTAGAAAGCAACTCACGCACCTCCAATTCAACTAGCTGCAAGAGCTCCTCGTCATCCACCTGATCCTGCTTGTTCAAGAAAACAACCATATTAGGAACCCCCACCTGCTTCGCCAGCAAGATATGCTCCTTTGTCTGTGGCATTGGGCCATCTGCGCCTGAGACCACAAGAATAGCCCCGTCCATCTGAGCGGCACCCGTAATCATGTTCTTCACGTAGTCGGCGTGACCAGGGCAGTCAACGTGGGCATAGTGACGGCTATCAGTCTCGTACTCCACAGTGGCAGTGTTAATTGTGATACCACGGGCGCGCTCCTCAGGGGCGGCGTCAATCTCGTCGTACTTTTTAGGGGCGCTGTTGCCCATAGAAGCAAGAGCCATAGTGAGTGCCGCTGTGAGAGTTGTTTTTCCATGATCTACATGACCAATGGTACCAATGTTAACATGGGGTTTCTTCCGCTCGAACCTGCCGCGTGCAGCCCGGACAGTAAAATTGCCTCCCTGTCCCGGACGGTGTAGGAAAAGGTTGGCGGTGGAAGTAGTTGTGAGGAATGAGGAAGAGAGGTGGGAAGGGGTTTGGTTGGTAAGTCTTGTGCCAAAATTAGCACTCGTGGTTGAGGTCGTCCGGCTGGAAATAGGGGAGGAATGAGCGTATCGGAGTTTATGTGAGATAGCTGTGGCAGATGATGAGATTGCCATTGTATGTTCAGAAGAATTGGGGTTTTGGAGAACGGAAATGGAGAAGAAAGGAGGAGTTATCTGGTGGGTAATGGAAATGAGGAAATAAAAAAGGGCAAAACCCAACAGACTGCCCTTCAACTTTTGAAGTGTGTGGGACTTTACCCCTCACATTACAATATGTGATTTTATACCGTCCTAGCATTCGAGTTTATGATAACGATGAGGTAATATTTAACGTTGAGAGGTCATGTGTAGTATGTGCGTCATTAATTTTTGTCATACATGTACAAGTCAGTGACACGTAAGCCATTTTTTACATGTTGGCAGTTCAGCTTAGACTGCTCATTAGGGAGAAATATACCGCCAAACAATTTAATTATGGATCCCACTCTCTAACTTTGACTTATAAATTAAAGTTAAATTACACATTTATCCTCTCATCATCATCCCTTCCATTCAATCTTTTCCTTCTTGAGATCTCCATCTTCGGCAAACTCAAGCCCATGTTCTTTTTTTTTACGGACACACTTCTACCCTTTTTCCCATTCAAACTCACAATTTCATAGCATATTTCAATCATCCATATAAACAAAATTTTGCACATTTCATAATATTAAATTTTCATTCCACAACCAGAATATTTGAAAAAAAATTCCATCAGGGAAATACATATATATATCATCGGTTGTTGTTAAAAAAAAATCTATAAATTTGGGTTCAGGAAACCTTGAAATATGGGTTTCTTGAACCCAAATCTAGGTGAACCTAGATCTAGGCAACCTAGATTTGGGTTCCATCAAACCCAAAACCTCAATTTGCATGGAGAGGAAGAAACGAGAAGCGAGAGAAAGGAAAGAGGGGGAAGAGAGGGAGAGGGAGGAGAAAGATGGGCTTTAATCCTTATCGAACATGCGAAGGTGATGGGCTATAGGAGGAAGAAGAAGAAGAGGATGAAGGAGGCGAGGAAGATATGCATTGGAAAACGAAGGAAGAAAGGAACTAGAGATGGGAAGAAGATGAATAGGGAAAATGGGTAAAGAACAAATGAAGAAAATGAGTGGACGATAGTAATTCTAATTGATAGTAAAAAATTAAGGTTTGCTTATATAGCCAATCATTATGTCCCATGTCATTAATAACTTTTTAAGTTGATTTTAAAATGGGGTTCGCATGGCTTGTAAGTTGCTCACATGTAAAATCAATGTCTAGGTGGCACTGAGGTGTAATTGGGAAACGGAGGGTAACGGGAGGACATCACTATTTTCCTCATTTACTCAAATTATTTAAGGTTAAGGGTAAATATTCATACATTGTAAGGTGGAGGGCATTTTGCCTCAAGCTCGAAAAGTTGAAGGGCAATCTTTGGGGTTTTTCCAATAAAAAAGAGGCTAATATGAGTTCTATCCTCCTGCCCTGCCTCAGCGGAGCAGTTACAAGGGATGGTAATCAAATTTCTATGAAATTTTACTCAGATCCTGACACGTGTAGGGTAGATATGTAATATTACAATTCCACATTTTTTTTTTTTTGGCGTCATGTATAAGAATATTTTCTTGAAAGAATTCTTTTTCGGAGAAAGGCAAAGTGTTTATTTATTTATTTATATTTCTAAGTCAAAATATTATTGTTGTTGTGTTGTGAATTGTGAGTACAAAATTACACCAACTCAAATCAATCGCCTTAATTTAATAAATAATTTAGTAATTTTTGTTATTTATTTTATTTTATTTAATATTTTAAATATTTTTATATTCATCTATTATCTTTTATTTTATTTTAATTTAGTATGGTCTATTAATTTTCAAACACCAATTTCACTCTATTAGGTCAAATTGATTTTTTAACTATATTTTTTAATAAATTTTTACTCTTTAAAATTAATTTTAAGATAAAATTAACTTTGTAAGAATAATAAATTTCTTTTTATTATATGAGGAACTATAACTTTTATAACATATTCCTTCAACTTTTTCTTTCAATAAATCTCATTTATAGCAGAAACTACAACTATTTATATGCTTTAATAACTTGCACAATTTATCATGGATTACTTTATTGATTGGAGCTACTCTATTTCAACTTTGATTTAACTTTTTTGTTAGTTTTCTATTAAAACTAATAAAAATTTTGTTCGGTAGATTATTTTAAAATATTTTAAAAGTTTATAAACCATTAAAAAAAAAACTTTCTAGACTAAAATAAAATTAGACTAATAATTAATAAATTAATCATTGAATTAAGCCCATATCAATCCCACAAAGTTACATATATCTCAAACTTTGTGTACAATTCAAAATAAAAAACAATTAGTAGAGTTAATCATGTAAACAATTTCCTTTAAAAAAAAAAAAAACATACAAGCAATTTTAGAGAAGCCTCCGAAATGATAACCAAGCAGCCACCTATTAGGCTAAAGAATGTGTTTAATCCCTTATTTTATTAAATTTAAAGTTTTTTATTCTTTACCTTACACTATGGAGTTTTTAGTTCCTGAACTTTAAAGTTTAAAGATTTCAACCCTTAGAGCAAAAGAATTTGTTAACTCTTTGTTAAAATGAGAATAAAAAATTTACAAGACCGTGGGCATAGTGATGGCTACCAGTCTTGTTCTCCATTGCAACAATGTTAATTATAATACCATGGGCATGTTCCTTAGGAGTGGTGTCAATCTCATTGTATTTTTTAGGGGCACTATTGCCCATGGAGGCAATGGCCATAGTGAGAGCAATTGTGAAAGTGGTTTTGCCATGATCTATATGATCAATAGTCTTGATGTTGACTTCGGGTTTCTTTCACTCGTGTTTGCCATAGGCAACACAGACAATGAAAGTGCCTTTATAAGGGTGAATGGTAAGGGTGGTGGTGAAATTGGTTCCAAGAAAAGGAGGAAGAAAAGAGGAGGAGAGGTGAGAAAGAGTTAATTTGGAGAGTCTTGTGTGGAAATTAAGGGTTGTGGTTGAGGTCGCTTGTGTGGAAAGAGGGTATCTAAGTTTTGAACGATTGTGGATGATAAGATTGGCATGATGCATTTTCACAGAAATTGGGGTTTTGGATGGTGGAAATAGATGACAATTGTTATCTAGGACTAGGAATACAAAAGAAAGGAGAAGAAAAGATGGGCTAATGTGCATTTTATCCTTTGCTGCCCTGACCCAATGGAGTGGATACAAGGGTAGTATTCAACACAATGCTATTTAGATGTTGACATGTGTAAGGTAAACATATAACATATAAACCACTTATTTTATTTATATTTTTTTATTAAGAGGCATAAGCATTTTTCTTCAAATATTTTTTTAATATAAAATAGATATTTTTTTAACTTAAAATGGTTTTTTTTTAATTGAACTAGAATTTATAAAATGGATAAATTTGGTGGAAATGTGAAGAGATTTCCATTTATATACATCAACTCTCCAAGTCTCATTGGTTGAAAACTCAATCTGCTAGCTTCTCTTGTTTTTGTATATGAGATTCAACAAGTACAGTCTAGTTTCTTAGTATTAGTCGATCGTTTACCAAGGAAGCCTTTCACCACATTCATCATTTTAAGAATCAAATCAAAATTCAAGAATAATACGTATCAAGAAGAATACGATACCCTTTGTATATATCTAGTATACAAGACTTGTACATAAATTGATCCACACTATATACACATAGTAGGCACTAAATTGCACCATGCATGATATATTTGTACTATATCTTTCTAGTAATTGTTAATTAGAATAATTTTAATTCATGATTGAAATTAATTTTTAATTAATGAATATATAAATCATTCTGACACATGTTAGGCACTAGGCTGCTTTACTAGCAAGATATGCTCTTTTGTTTGTAGCATTGAGCCATCAACACTTGAAAATACAAGAATAACCCCATCCATGTAAGCGGCACCACTAATCATGTTCTTGAAGTAGTTGCCATGGCCAAGGCAATCCATGTGGGCATAATGGCGATTATCAATCTTGAACTTCATAGTTGTAATGTTAATTGTGATATCATAGGCACGTTCCTCAAGGGCAACATCAATCTTGTCATACTTTCTAGGGGCATTGTTGCCCATGGAGGTAAGGACCATAATGAGAGCAACAATAAGAGTGGTTTCATCATGATCCCCATGGCTTATAGTCTTCATGTTAACATGAGGTTTCTTTTATTCAAATTTGCTATAGTTAACACAACCAGTGAAAGTGCCTCTACGAGGTTGAAGGTGAAGGTGATGGTGGAATTGGTTGTAAGGAAAGGAGGAAGAAAGGAGAAGCAGAGGTAAAGAGTTAGATTGGTGAGTCTCGTGTAGAAATTAGGGGCTGTGGTTGAGGTCGCTAGAGTGGAAAGAAGGTAACTAAGTTTTGAGTAGTTTGTGGTTATGAATGATGAGATTGACATGGTGTATTTTCATAGAAATTGGGGTTTTGGGTGGCAGAAATATATGAGAATTGTTATCGAAGACTAAGAATACAAAATAAAAGAGGGATTAATTTTAATCTGATCCTTCGCTACCATTCCCCAATGAAATGAATACGAAGATAGTATTCAATGCAATGCTATTCAGATGCTAACATGTGAAGAGTAAACATATAACAAGCAAACCACTCATTTATTTATATATATATTTTTAATATGGGGCAATAAATACTTTTCTTCAAAGATTTTTTTAAAAAAAATATTGTAGGCAAGAAATAATTATTAGCCAATTAAAAAATACCATGTAAAAGATGTCATTTGTTAATTTAAGTCTTGAAAAATAATATTATTCTTAACCAATTAAAATTATTTTGATGATGTCTTTGAATCATCGCAAAATGCTATATGTCCTAATTACAATTCAAGGCAAAGGCACCTAAAGGAAAACTCTTGTTGTTCAAGAAAGAATATAGGTTAAACCTCCAGGTTCCCTCAATTATTATATGAAACCTGAGTTAGTCTCTCAATTAACAAGCTTTTTAATTTGGTCCTTGAAATTTAAAGTTTTGACTCCAAATTAATCCCTCTATTTAAAATCTAATAACATGTCTCATTAATTGATGAAGCAAGACATGTCAAAATATTTTAACACATTGATGAATGTGGAAAAAACAATGACATGAAAAAAAATAATGACATGTTGTTTCCTAACCAACCCAAAAAAACAAGGTGAAAGCCCACCATTTGCAGCCATTCAAACCCCCAATACATAGGGCCCTTCCATGTCAAACCCTATGCAAAAAATCCCAAAATCCCTTTTATTCTGAGAGGGATAAACAAAAATCCTCACATGCTTGGATTTCTCAAGCTTAAGCTTCTATGCATAAGACGTATACTTCTGCACCAATGTGTGGTGGTCCTCAATTTGCTAATCAATTGCAGAACAAAACCTCTCTCTATACAAACTCCTGAGTTTTTCTCTTAGATTCGGACCTCCTTGTACCATATTCACAATGTCTTCAACTTTTCAATGGTGATGAAATGGCCCTTTTCTTTCACTTCCTAAGCAATGATACTACTCTCATCTTCTCCTTTAAACTACCTAATCCATTTCCCAGTTGATGTTTTGATAAATACCTAAATTTGTTTGAATTTGACTAATTTTTGATGATGTTTTTGATGTGTATGAGTTGAATCATTTCAAGATGGGAGGCGAGAGTGTGAAGTGAAAAGGAAAGAGAGGGCGAGGAAGAGGAAGACGATGAGGGTCATAACAAAAGTCATCAATCTGATGGTTAAACCAATGCTTTGTCCTTTACCAACATGTGAGGGATGAGGAATAGCCATTTTCCGAGATTAATTTTAAGTGATGGCTCCACCTTTTCCAACCATTTTCCAAGATCAAGATTTTAGGTGATGGCTCCACCTTTTCTAGCCATTTTACAAGATCAAGATTTTAAGTGATCAATCTTAGGATTTTCTACAAATAAAGTTTTAAACGAAACAAAAAAAAGGGGAGAAATGTTGTTGCAGGCCATAGGCCTCACCTCTTTTTTTTTTTTTTTTTTTGGAGTTGGTTACGAAATTGCATGTGAAATTTGATTTCCATGTCATTATTTTCTATCATGTTGTCTCCTTACGTGCATTAATGTGTTGATGTGTCTTTCTTCTCTTGTCAAGTAATGAGAGATGTAAGTGAATTTTTACCGAAGGATCTAAAACTTTAACTTTTAGTGAATAAATTAAAAGAATTTTAATTTAGGGACTAATTTAAAGGTTTATATAATAGTTAAAAAATCAAAGTAGGGGTTTAACTAATAATATATTAAAAATATTTATTAAATTAAAATATTTGTTATTCCAACCAATAGGATTAGAGCATTTCTATGACTTGTTAAATAAGAATAAAACTTTCATCCTAAATTACTAAGGAAATAGTTGGTAAAGAAATTATAATCTTGGAAGAACTTCTCAACTCATGCCTATGAATAGAGTACATCCTTAAGGCTTGTTCACACACTTCAAAAGTAAAAAATCTTTAGATAAATTTCAAGAATTAAGCTCTCTGAATATTTATCATTAATGAGAAATAAATTAAAGATTGAAAAACCCTATTAAAAGGGATTTTTGAAGAACCGCAATAAAAGGGATTTTTAAGAACCATGTTGCCAGGGATTTTGAAGAATGAAGAACAAGTGAAAAATGCAAGATAAAAAGTGTTGATCACTTGTTTCCCTACTAAAAGGGATTTTGATCTTATCTAATGAAGAAATCTAAAACTTTATTTGTTTTAGAACAAGTTAATAAAGATCCTCGTGCAAGAAGTCAAGGTCAAGTTATTCTATTTGAAGAGAAGAATTAAAGGATTAAATTTTTAGAGATTATCACTCACAAACTTTTATCAAATTTGTAATTTGACATGTAAATTTTCAATACAAAATTATTTATTTTGTACAAATATAAAATTAATATTTTTTTTAATTGAACTGGAATTTATAAAATGGATATATTTAGGGCAAATGTGAAGAGATTTTCATTTATGTACATTAATTCTCTAAGTCTCCTTGCTTGAGAATTCAATCTGTTAACTTATCTTGCTTTTGTATAGAGATTCAACAAGTACAATCTAATTTCTAAGTATTAGTCAATCATTTAGTAGGAAGCTTCTCACCTCATCCATCCTTTTAAGAATCAAATCACAATTCAAGAAGAATACAATACTCTTTGTATATATCTAACCTACAAGGCTTGTATATAAATCGATCCACACCATATATATGTACTAGGCACTAAAATTGTGCTACACCTGGTTTATTTGTATTATATCTTTGTAGTAACTGTTAACAATAATAATATTAATTCATAATTAAAATTAATTTTTATTTAGCAAATATATAAGTAATTTCAAACACATGTTGAGTATTGAGCTCCTTTGCTAGCAAGACATGTCGCTTTGTTTATGGCATTGGGCAATCGGCACCTAAGGCTACAAGAATTGCCTTGTCCATCTGTGCAGCACCAGTAGTTATGTTCTTGACAGAATTGGCATGACCAGGGTAATCCATGTGGGCATAATGGAGATTATCAATCTTATACTCCACAATGACAATGTTAATACTACAAGCATGTTCCTTAGAGGCAAAGTCAACTTGTACTTTTTTGGGCTACTGTTTCCCATGGAGGTAAGGGTCATAGTAAAAGTGGCTATAAGAGTGGTTTTACAATGATCCTCATAGTCGATAGTCCCATTATTGATATGTGGTTTCCTCAACTCAAATTTATCTCACATAGCACAAATACTGAAAGTGCCTTTATAAGGATGAAAGGTAACAGTGACAATGGAATTGGTTACAAGGAAAGGAGGAAGAAAAGAGGAGGAGAGGTGAGAAAGAGTTAGTTTAGTGAGTCTTCTGTGGAAATTAGGGATTGTGGTTGAGTTTATTGATATGGAAAGAAGATATCTAAGTTTTGAGTAGCTTGTGGTTGCGAATGATGAGATTGGCATGATGTATTTTCACAAAAATTAAGGTATAAAGTGGCGAAAATATATGAGAATTGTTATCTAGGATTTGGAGTACAAAAGAAAGGGATGCTAATTTGAATTTTGTCCCTTGTTGCCCTAATCTAGTGACGTGTGAAGGATAAACATATAGCATGCAAACCACTCATTTTATTCATATTTTTTATCATGGGGCATAAGTATTTTTCTTCAAAGATTTTTTTAATGCTAAATGAATATTCTTTTAATAGTACTGAAATTTATAAATAATTTGGAGCAAATGTGAAGATAATTCCATTTATGTATATAAACTCTCTAAGTCTCCTTGTTTGAGATTTCAATCCACTAGCTTCTCTTGCTTTTTGTATATGAGATTCAAAGCCTACAATATACTTTCTAGGCAATAATCAACCATTTACTAAGGAAGCTTCTCACCTCATCCATCCTTTTAAGAATCAAATTACAATTTAAGAAGAATATAATACTCTTTGTATGTTTATACTATATAAAATTTGTATATAAATTGATCTAATACTATATACACACACACTAGGCACTAAAATTGCATTACACACTATTTGTATTATATCTTTTTAGTAATTCTTGACTATAATAATTTTAATTCATAATTGAAATTAATTTTTAATTAGTGAATTTATAAGTCATTTCAAACACTTGTTGGGCATTGGGCACTTTTGCTAGTAAGATATGCTCCTTTGTCTACGACATAGGGCCGTCAACCCTTAAGAATACAAGAATAATACCATCCATTTGAGTGGCCCCAATAATATGTTCTTGATGTAGTCAACATGACCAAGGAAATCCACATGGGCATAATGGAAACTATCAATCTTGTACTCCATAGTGGCAATATTAATTGTGGTACCATAGGCACATTCCTTAGTAGCGATGTTAAACCTGTCATACTTTTTAAAGGTGCTATTGCCCACGAAGGTAAGGGTCATGGTCAGAGTGGTTATGAAAATGGTTTTGCCATGATCAACATGGCTGATCACCTCAATGTCGACATAGAGTTGCTTCTGCTCAAATTTGCTACGAGTAGTACAAACAGTGAAAGTGCCTCGGTGAAGGTAAATGGTAATGATGATAATGGAATTGGTTGTAAAGAAAGGATGAAGAAAGGTGGAAGAGAGGTGAGAAGGTGTTAGTTTTGTGAGTCTTGTGTAGAAATTAGGCTGTGGTTGAGGTTGCTAGAGTGGAAAGAGGGTATCTAAGTTTTGAGTAGGTTATAGTTGTGGATGATGAGATTGGCATGATGTATTTTCACCAAAATTAGGGTTTTGGGTGGTGGAAGTAGATGAGAATTATCATTTGGGATTGGGAGTACAAAAGAAAAGAAGGGCTAATTTGAATTTTATCCTTTTCTACCTTGCCTCGATGGAGTGGATATAAGGTAGTATTCAATTTAAATGCCAACACATGTAGGGCAAACATATAACATGCAAACTACTCATTTTTTTATTGTGGGGCATAAGTATTTTTCTTTAAAGATGTTTTACAAAAGATTAAATGGATACATTTTTTAATAGAACTAAAAATTTTAAAATAGATAAATTTGGGGCAAATGTGAATAGAGTTCTATTTCTGTACATCAACTCTCCAGGTCCATTTGTTTGAGAATTCAATATGCTAGCTTCTCTTGCTTTTGTATATGAGATTCAACAACTACAATTTAGTTTTTAGGTATTAGTCAACTGTTTACTAGAAAAGCTTCTCATCTCATCTATCATTTTAAGAATCAAATCACAATTCAAGAAGTAAACAATACTCTTTTCATGTATATAAGATATGACTTGTATATAAATCAATCCACTATATATATATATATAAGAGTAAGGATCCACTTACATAGAAGTTTTACACATCACACGTACAACAAATCTTGACTATTCATCTTTTCACTTTCAATGATTGAGATTTATTCACTTTTTATTTTATTTATTAAAGATACTTATCTTTTTCATCTAAAAAGTCGTAATCAATCTTAATAATAGAAAGTAAAGAGATAAATGGTTAAGATTTTGTGTAAATGTGATGTGTAAGACTTGTGTTTAAGTGAATCCCTATTATATATAAGACTTCTATGTAAGTGAATTCTTACTCCATATATATACCTATATATATATAGTAGGGATCTATTTACATGGCACACTTATTCAAAATCTTAACCATTCATTTTTTCACCTCCAATAGTTAAGATTTATTACGATTTTTTTAAATAGAAAAGATAATTATTTTTAATAAATGTGAATAAATCTCAAGTATTAAAATTGAAGAAATAAATAGTTGAGATTTTGTATAAATGCAGTGTGTAAAATTTGTGTGTAAGTAGATCCCTTCTTATATATATATATAAGAATAGTGTAGGGCAAGTCATCCTCTCAAAAAATTTTGAAGAATTTATCTAAAAACTCTTCTTCTAATTAATATTTTCAAAAATCAATCATTGAATTAAAAGTTCTATTTATGTAGATCATGCATGTCAATTTTCATATTGAGCACTTATAACCATTTGATCAAAGAAATTCTATTTATTGACATATAATTTATGGTGTTAAATATCCTATAATCAACAAATTAGTTAAACTTAATAGAAATAATTTGAAAATTGACATACATGATTTATATAAATAAAACTTTTAATCTAATAGTTGGTTTTTGAAAATATTAATTAAAAGATGAGTTTTTGGACAAGTCCTTCAAAAAAATATTTAGAGGACAACTTTTGTAAAACAGTTTACCATATATATATATATATATAGATAAATATGAGTAGGGATCTATTTATATAAAAATTTTATTTATTACACTTATATAAAATATTGACCATTCATTTTTTCACTTTTAATAGTTAAAATTTATTCGCATTTATTAAATATAATTATTTTTTATATAAAAAGTCGTGATAAATCTTAACTGTTAAAAGTGGAGATGTGAATGATTGAGATTTTGTATAAGTGTGGTATGTTAAACTTGTGGGAATGGATCCCTCCTATATATATATGTTTGTTAAGATTCACTTACATATCATACTTGCATAAAATCTTAACCATTCATCTCAGCACTTTTAATTGTTAAGATTTATTCACTTTTTATCAAATTTATTAAAGATAATTATATTTTTCACTGATTAAAATTTTATATAAGTGTAGTGTGTAATCGTTATACTACATCCTTTTAGTTATCGTTAACTATAATAATATTAATTTATAATTAAAATTAATTTTTAATTAATGAACATATGTTAGGCAAGACTCGTAAGTTGTAACCATGTTGCCTCGTCCCTCGTCAAAGAATCAAAACAAGCCACACTTCACATTCTCCAATAGGATTGTTCTGTTACTAAACCAGATATTCTAATTTCATTTCCCTCTGCAATCTGACCCATTTTTCAGCATTCTGGATCTGAAACGCCATTCAGAATCTTTATGATTTTATCCCCTTTATGAAGTATAATATTAACTTCTAAGCTAATTTGAATCACTTATTATTATTATTATTATTATTATTATTATTATTATTATTATTATTTTATTATTGTTGTTGTATACATGCTTATTTGAATTATCGACTTTGGCCTGTAGCAAGCTACAAGCAAATAACTAAGTTGGAGAAAGAAGCAGGGAATTACTCAGATTCCATACAAGAGCTTAGACATGTGGAATTACACGGTTTAGCTGCAATTCTTCTTGGGCACATCATAATTAGCAATCTTCACCTGAGACATATTTAAAACCTTTGCACACAACTCTGGAGAAAGTTCACTAAAAAATTCTGCTATAGCTAATTTATGCTTTCTCTTTAGCTCATCCAACTCCACTTGCTGATTTACCAGCAAAGAGTTAAGTTTCTCTGCTAATATCTTGATTTCAGATTCATTCTCCATAAATACCAGATGGTTCTCTCCTGACACACCTCCACGGCCATTGTGCAGATCCATAACTGATCTGTGTTGAATACGTAAATGTACATCAGCAAGTCCATTTTCATATTTCTGCTTGCTACAATCATCTCTAACATTGTGACATGTAACTTCAGTCTCAAATTTTTCTCCTGAAGTAGTATCATTGAGCTTAGCTCCATCTTTATAGCTATTGGAAATTTCACTGTGTTCAGCCAAGCAACTTGTACTTCTCATGGAATCCACCTGGGATGATAAGTCGGACGGGCCAGGCCTGCCTGGAGAATTTCCACCAGCCTCCTTAGGTGAATCAGACCAGTATTTTTTACCTGATGGCAATCTTTCAAGTTGAAGACTTCCTGGAGATGAGGCTAGCTCACTAGTTGAAGGAGACGCATGAACCTTATCAGAATTTGCAACTTCACCAAGATTATCTCTAGAAGTTTCTCTTGGAGTCCAATTGGAAATATGGGACCGGATTTCTGATTCAATCATCTCAGCAATTGTTGATACATCTTGGTCCGTCAGGTCCAGCTCTTCAACCATTTCACTGGCAACAGCAGTTGCTGTATCTGCCTCAATATCAAATGGGAAGTGGATATTGCGAACATGACCTAGGAACATAAGGAAAGAATGGTTTAAGAAAAATTGTCCCGAGGATAAAAATTGAAAGATCAAGAAGGAATATTGACATATACAGAGAGTGTCTGCATACCTGAGGAATCTGCCATTCGTAGTTTCAGAAACACAGTGTTAAGATCTCTCATCTGACCTTGTACTGTGAAGTCTACACTTGCCTCAGCTGAAAAATCCCTATTAGGTTTCCCAATATCAATAAGATTGCAAATATTATCTGCATTTATTGCAAGAAATTGTGAGGGCAAATATTGCAAGCCTCTGAGATCCACTGCCTAAGCTCTACAACTTTACCTGAAGGATGGCTGTTTCGTTGTAAAATATGGCTCATACTTTCATTTTCCTCATCCGATTGGATAAATGGATCACTTAAAAGTTCTCTTGCAGACAGGCGTTTAGACACAGGAGCAATACATTTTTCTATGAATGCTTTGACTGCAGGATCAGTCACTTTTGCCAATGATGCAGGTTTTATCCCCTGTTCAGGATGGTTAAATAACCATGACAACCAAGGAGCATAACATAATGTCTTACTTACTTTTAGCAACTGGTCATTGGAAACACAGATGTATAATAACAATCAAATTTGAGTATGTAAAAATCATCATTTTTAGCAGTGTTGCAAAAGGCGTCACCTAGGCTTGCCTGGGCCGTGCTTACACACTAAGGGGCCCTATGTTGCCTGCCTTGACCCAGGTGGGCGAGAGGGCAATACCACCCTACCCCCTTTTTTTTGGGTTTTCCTTTAAAAAAAATTAAACCACACTGTTTTGTTTTCAATTTTTTTAACAAATAAAGAACAAACAGTGTTGGTTTGTTCTCGAAGGTCAACACAAAGCAAAAAACCCTAAATGACAATCATTTAGGATTTTCTACGACTTCAGTTCTTCTCTCCTTCATTCTAATTAATTGATTTCAGTTATGTTGATTCTAGACTTCTATTAAGTTTTGTTGATTAATTGATTTTAGGCTTTTAAATGATCTTCCTTTTTTTAAAAAAAAATTTTTCCCCAAATTTCTGAGTTTTTTGGATTTTTTTTTTTTTTTAAAATAAGGTGGTGCACAAATTGCCAAGTTGGTTCAGCGCCTTTAGCAATGCTGATTTTTAGAAAATGAACCATTCAAGCCAATTAAAGCCTATAAAAGCACAATGATAGAAAAACACTGTTAACATAGATTACTAGTCAAGAGAGTATAACATTCCAAGATATGTACTAAAAGGTTCATAATGTATAAAAAATCAAATAGGCACAGATTTTGTAGGCCTTACTGATGTCACTTTCTTGAATATTTGTGCAGCGTTGGAACATTCAACATATGGATACTCAAAGGTCACCAACTCCAGCAAGCACATGCCAAAGGCATAAATATCTACAAGCTCGTTATATTCCTCCTCATAAAGCTCTGGTGCCATAAACTCCGGTGTACCTAAATCGCATCAAAATCATGTTAATTTGTCTTCAAATTTTTATATACTCGATCCTGTAAGGGCAGCAAGGCGATTGAGTACAAGAAACAAACCAATAACACTATGAGCTGAATGAGCCTTGTGAAGAATAGCAGCAAGGCCTAGGTCACCAATCTTTACCTCACCTTGGTTGCCATTTATAAAGATATTATCACATTTTAGATCTCTATGAATCACAGGTGGGTCATGACTGTGAAGATACAAGAGACCTTCTAAGATCTGCCTTGACCATTTCTTCAATGCCCTCAGATCAACATGCTTATGCTTTTTTCGATACCTACAGATTCTCAAATGTGAAAAATCTTATATATAGAGAAATAAAATATGACATCTGAAACCTCAAACCCAAAGAACCATAGACACCTATCAAAACTTACTGGCGCAATGTTCCAGAAGTAAAGATCTCAGTGATAAAGTTGATATTCTCATGGTTTGCATCCACCCACGAATTGTAAAATTTGATAATGTTTTTGTGCTTCAAAGTCTTTAGCAAATGAACTTCAGAATAGAGACGCTCCAAATCTACAGAATTACGTAATAGATCAGCGACTTTAACCTGATTCCAAGCTACTTCTATTCCTTCCAATTCATCAAAAGCTCTATATCTGAATTCCCGAATCTTGATCAAGGCAAAACAAAACCCTTTTCATAATTAAGCCCCAAATGCATAAAAAATAAAAGGTGAACAACTGCATTTAACAGTATATATATGAAATTAACTAAAAATCAGAATAAGATATAAAACAAAGGGGAAAAGGATACACTATTTTGAATGCCCCTCTTCCTAGAACCTCTATATACTGCAATAACCAAAGCAAAATCCCAAAAAGAAACAGGATAGTAAGTATACAATTGAAGAAAATATCAAGAACCAAACAACCCAAATGCCATCTATTAAATAATATCAGCACAATAACATCAGTGTTCTCTAATCCGACAGAAAAGAAAAAGAAAAAGAATCTAATATGATATGAGGAACTGCACAAAATCAGTTCAATTGAATAGAAGCAAAATCAAAAAATAGAAATTTGTAGAAAGAGAATTACAGACCCGACTGTAACGAAGAGTGGGATCAACCTCAACGATCTCGTCATCAGAATCATCTGGGTCATGCTCGGACGATGAATCCTGTGGCATTCTCTTCTACACGCACAAACCAAAATCAATACCGTTAAATTTTGAAAACTTTCCAATTATATCTCTCGATGCAGAAAATGAACAATTGTTGATTTCCTTCAAAAGACGCGAAGAGAAAGAAAAGAGATAAATCTAGAGGGACAGAAGAAGAAACGTACCACTGAAGGGGAAGAAGGGTAAGGGAGAGAGTGCGACGAGGTGTTTTGTGAGCGGGTTCTGTTCTGACTTCTGCGACTCTCCCAATGAAACAAAATTGTGAATTTGTGATTTTGTTTGTAGAGGTAAAAGTTTGGCTCGAAGGTAATCCAAGAAAATGGGATAATGTCTTTCCGCGGGGCACCACATGGAGTTATGGACTAAATGTAGGCATGATCACTCGTCTACACAAGTCTTCCATATAATATCTTTATCTATATATATATAACTACTTAATATTATTAAAAATCCTTTGACTTTATAAAAATAGTCAATGTCATCTTTTACTTTAAAGCAATTCATAAGGGTCCCTCAACTTTAGAGATATTATAACACCGTCAATATATCCCTTAAAATCCTTCAAATTTTAATGGTAAAATGATATGGTTGGCCCCTTAACTTCAGTTTTATGAACTTTGATCCTTAAAATTCAATTTTATTCAATTTAATCCCTAATTTCAACTTTTTTATTACAATTTTGTTTCCAAACTTTTGAATGAGATACACTCAAATCTCAAAATTTGTAATTTCATGCATTACAATCATGTCCTTTTTTCACAATTCATAAAAATTATGTAGCTTTTAATAAAACTACATATAAGTATTTAACTCATTTAAATATTAGTAAAATCAAGTCTGAAATAGAAAACTAAAACATGTAAAATAATATAATCAAAGTACAAAATAATGTAATCAAAGTGTAAAATCAAGTCTTAAAACAGCTTGGAAACCAAATTGTAATAAAAAAGTTAAAGTTAGGGATTAAATTGAATAAAATTTGATTTTTAGTATACAAGAACTGAACTTAAGTGGTTAACTGTGTCATTATACAATTAAAATTTGAAGGATTTTAAGGATGGATTGATGATTTTATACCATCCGTCAGGATTATGGTTGACCCTTTTGTTTAAAGTTGAAGGATGATTATGAATTCTTTTAAAATAGAAAATGATCATGACTTTTTTTATGGAGTTGGAAGATTTTTAGTGACATTAACTTTATATAAAATTGTTGAAATAATAAAATTTTTCTTAAAATTCATAAATAAAATTTCATTGAATTTTTAAAAAATAATTAATAAATACCCATTAAATTTTAGAAAAATCTTCAATCAATATCCAATAAACTTTTAAAACAATACATATTAAAAAATAATTTAAATCTAATATATATCATATATTACAATCCAATGTTAGAAAATTTTGATTTTTTATTTATTTTATTCACGTTTTCTTATTATAGGCTTTGACTTGATTTTTTCTTAATACCTTTCTAATCATGTAACAATAGAGTTATAATTATATAAGTCGAAGACGAAAAATAAAAAAGGAGGAGAGCGAGGAGATGCGGGATGATTCCATTTTGAACTTTTGTTTCTTTAATTTTCTTAATCGTAAACTATAGTGTTGGTCCTCAACTTCTTAACATTCTTAAACTTTGGTGTTTAGATTTTAGAACTCTACAATTTATTTATTTTTACTTTATGAAACATTGTGATTTAGTTCTATATTATGATTTTTAAAAGTTAAGTTTTGTCCTACACAAATAATAAAAATAATGTAAAATTAAGTAAAATCATTTTAAATTCATCTAAATATTAATAAAATTAAAACCATATTAGCATTCTATTATATACAAGAATTCAACTTATCAAGCACTTTAAGGAAAGTAACTATTAATCTATAAAGGCAAAAAAAAAGGCAAATGTAGAGTAGAGATAAATAAAAAGATAAAATGTTAAGTGAGAAGTTGAGAGATTAAATCACAGAAAAAATTAATAATAACAGAAGTAGAGTAAATGTTAGTGAAAAAGAACTTGAGAATAATATTAAGAATTTATGTCACTTATGTTTTGGTCAAAAATATTTCTAATAATGACAATGAGAGAGAGAGAGAGAAAGTGGAAAATTAGGATAAAAGGGATATGTAATAATAGATGGAGATACTATGAGTGATTAAGAAAAAAATAATGTAGAAAGAAAGCCTAAGGAAATGTAAGAATAATAACAAAAAATTATTACTATAGAAAGAGAAAAGAGAAGAATATATTGCAAAGAAATATATAATGATAGAATTTAAGAGGGAAGTTAAGAGTTAACGTATTAAGAAAAATAATGATAAAATTATAGTAATAAGAAATTAAAGAACTAACATGATTTTAATCTACTAAATTTAGGGGCCAACTAATAATTTAATCATAAAATAAATGAAGAAAATGGATGGATAGACGTTAGTCACGCATTCGATATTTCAATCTCCAAATTGGCTCAGGGGGGTTCAACCCCTTAAGTATTATTTAATTTATTAATATAATAATAAATTATGAAAATTTATGTTATTTTTTAAAATAAATTGATTAAATTTATATACTTAAATTTTTGTTTGGTTAAAATCCCATTTTGGTCCCTAAACTATTGTATAGACACAGCAAATAAGCCCTCCGTCAACCTCCGGATACAAAAACCGAGCCCCCTTTCAACAGAAAGTTTCTCCTTTCCTCCGCCGTCAACACCAGACTCACAAAAACAATAGAGACCCCCTCCCTCTTTCGGATTTCTGTCTTCTGCTTTCTCTCTTTTTTAGTGACAAGAAGAAGAGGAACCGCAGAAGGAGAAAAATCCGAACCCCTTAAACTCACCAATCTTCTCCTATTTATACAAAAATCAAAGGAAAACCTAAAGGACGTTGGTCTGCCATTATGGTCAGTTGGCTGCAACATGGGGCGCAGGATCTATCTTTGCAGGAAAAGGACGGTGCAGAGAGGAGGCTGTAGGATCTGGTTGCAGAAGAGGGGCGGCGCAGAGAGGGGGGTGCAGGCTGCTGTAGGCTCGAGGGGTGCAGGAGAAGGGAGGCGGAGTCGGCTCGGTGCAGGGTAGGTTGTAGGCGTGCGAGGGGGCGATGATGGTTTGGTGCAGGGCAGGTTGCAGGTGTGCGAGGGTGTGATGATGGCTAGTTCGGTGATAGGGGGTAGGGCGCGGCGCAGGGCAGGTGCAGGTTAGGGGTGTAGGCAGCAAGCCGGGCTCGGGTGAGAATGCAGAGCAGGGGCGCTAGGCAGCGGTGCTGGTGCGCAGGGCTTGTTGCAGGCGGCAAGGGGGTGGTTCGAGAAGGAGAAAGTAAAAAAAATATAAGAAGAAGGGGAAGGTTCGAGATGCCTACCCTTTTTTCTTTTTCTTTTTCTTTTTCTTTTCTTTTTTTTTTTTTTGGTTCTTTTTTTTTTTTTTTTTTTTGGTTCTTTGGGTTTCTTTTTTTTCTTTTTCTTTTTCTCTTCTTTTTTTTTTTAGTTTGGTTTTGGTGGGTTTGGGTTAGATGGGTTTTGGGATTTTAGGCTTTTTGGGTAATTGTTGGTTTGAGTTTGGTGGGTTTTGGATTGGGTTTGATGGGTTTTGGGATTTTGGGCCTTTTGGGTAATTGGATTTGAATTTGGGTTTTGGGCTGGACTTTGCATTTCACCCCTCCAACTTTTCATTTCTTCAATTGAGTCCTTTTTCTTGTTTTCTTTACCATCCTCTTCGTGAAATCCCCTTTTTACCCATAAACCTAACAATAAAAGCAAAGATAACAATATATTAGTTAAGAATAAAATAAAATCCTATTAAAAATTTGAGTTATGACACATTAACACACCAAAATTACAATTTTACCCTCATCTTCTTCCTCCAGCATCCTCTTTCTCAAATCTTCTTCATTCATCCTTCTTTTTCCCTCTCTTTGCTTCCTCCAAAACAACTTTTACCACCATTTTTCTAAGTCAAACAATTAATTCAATGAAATGGAATTCCATTCTTCATCAATCAATTCTTTTTCATCAATCAATTCTTTTTCATCAATCAATTCTTTTTTATCATCAAACAACAAAACCCATGAAAAAAGGAAAACATAAATTTTTTTTGAACCTAGCACTAGGTTCAAATGAACCCAGCGACTAAGTTCCAACGAACCCTGCGCCTGGGTTCCAAGGAACCTAGCGCTAGGGTTTGAACTAACCCGACGCCAAGGTTCCAAGGAACCTAGGTGCTAGGTTCAAACAAACCTCGCTCCTAGGTTCTAACGAACACAATGCCTGGGTTCGAAGGAACCCCGCGCCTGGGTTCGAACGAACCCGCGCCTAGGTTCCAAGGAACCCAGCATCAAGGTTTGAATGAACCCAACGCCTGGGTTCCAAGGAACCCAACGCCTGGGTTCGTTCGAACCTAGTGGCAGCTGCTGGATTCGATGGGTTTTAAGGGGGAAGGGTAAAGAGAAAGAGAAGCAAAAAGAAAAAAAAAAAGAAATTTTTTTTGAGTTTTATTATTTTTTTGCCACGTGTATTAATATTTTGCCATGTCATCTCATAATAGTGAATTAACAGCATACGTAATGAGATTTTTAACGGAAGGACCAAATCGAGGTCAAAATGGTAAATAGTAGGGATCAAATCAAGGACTTTTTTTAGTTTAAGGACCAAATCGAGGGTTCGTATAATAGTTCAAGGGCCAAAATGGGGTTTTAACCTTTTTGTTATATCTAGGTTAAAACCCCTTTTTGGTCCTTGAACTATTGTACGGACCCTCGATTTGGTCCCTAAACTAAAAAAATTCCTGATTTGGTCCCTACTGTTTACCATTTTTACCCCGATTTGGTCCTTCCGTTAAAATATCACTGTTATCTTACGACAATTTAATGACATGTCAAACGTTTGAGACACGTCAGTTGTATAAATGAATAAATAATGACATGGCAACTGGACATGTCATGTTCTTGCCCAACCCAACAAAAGTGGGGCCCACCAAAATTACGAATTTGCCATCATCTTCTTCCAACAACAAACAAACCCATCCTCCAGCAAACAAACCCAGCACCTGGGTTGAATCGAACCCAACAACACCCTTTTTTTTTCCTTCCTCTTCCTTGCCTTGCTTTCTTCATCATCATCAAACACCAAACCCATAGAAAAAATATATATATTTTTTACCCCCTGGGTTCCGTTGAACCCACGCCTGGGTTCGACGGAACCCAGCTGGTTCGCCACTGGGTTCCAAACCTTGCTTTCTTCATCATCATCAAACACATCATCATCAAACACCAAACCCACAGATATTTTTTACCCCCTGCGTTCGAGGAACCCAGGCGTGCTTGGTTCTTCGAACCCACGCCTGGGTTCGACGGAACCCAAGGTTGGGTTCCATGGAACCCAACGGCGAACCAACTGGGTTTGAAGAACCCAGGCGTGGGTTCCTTGGAACCCAGCGCTTGGGTTCCATCAAACTTGGGGTTGGGTTCCATGGAACCCAGCGGCGAACTAGCTGGGTTCTTCGAACCCAGACGTGGGTTCGAGGGAACCCAGTGCTTGGGTTCTAAGGAACCCAACCCAGGCAAGCGTGCTGGGTTCAATTCCTTGTGAACCCAACGCCTAGGTGGGTTCGAAGGAACCCAGCAGGCGGGGAAAGAGAAGGGAAAGGGGAAGGAGAAAGAGAAAGGGAAAGGAGAAAGAGAAAGAAAAAAGAAAAAAGAAAAAAAAAATTTAAGTTTTATTGTTTATAATATTTTTTTATATTATTATTTTTTCCACATCATCACTTTTTGGCTAAATTATCTTCCACGTGGATTACTATATGACATGTCATTTGGTAACCGTGAAGTAACAGGTCACGTCACACAATTTTTAACGGAAGGACCAAATCGGGGTAAAAATGGTAAACAGTAGGGGACCAAATCAGGGATTTTTTTAGTTTAGGAACCAAATCAGAGGTCCGTACAATAGTTCAGGGACCAAAAAGGGGTTTAACCTTATATCTATCATTTAGACTCTTTTATGAGTTAATACATTTAAAAATACTCTAAGATATATTTAGAGTTAATTATTAGAAAAAGGAGAAAATTAAGATATCTTGATATTAAAAGTGTCAAGAAATTTAATAATAACTATATAATGAATATGTTAAAATTAGAACTCACGCTATGTCCAATATATTTAATAGTTGTAAATGGTTTCTTGACATTTTTCATTTTGAGATGTCTCGATTTTTCCTTTTCTCTAATTATTATTATAAAATTTTATAATTAGGAATAATTTAAACAAAAATACATGCAAACCACACAAAGCGTAGCTTCAGTTCTTATTTATAAAAAATTTTAACTATTTATCTCATTTCTCTACTTTTAATGATTAAGATTTATTTATTTATTAAAAATAATTATGTTTTTCATCTAAAAATCATAATGAATCTCAACTATTGAAAATAAAAAGATAAATATTTAAATTTTAATATAAATATAATGTGTAAAACTTATATGTAAATGAATTCTTACTCTTCTTAATATTGTGTTTAATAATATTTATTTGTTTACTTTAGCTATTAGAATAATTGTTACATGTGCTTATATAACAACTAATATTTGTTATTTAATAAATTAAAATTAATTTATAAATTAATATTTCTAAACATTATAGTCAATTGTCTAATTAAAAAAAAAAAAAAAAGCTATGATTCATACGAGTATAACACTTTTTTATATGGCAATAGCCAAGTCCCACACTACTAGTATTCTGTTTTGAGAGGTAAAGTAAGGTTCTTTCTGGTATTGAATCGATTTTTAATTTTTTCTCTTCATTTTTTAAATATTAGGTAATATAGAAATCAAAATCTTTTATAAAAAATATTAATTATTTAATAAGATTAATGTTTATCAATTAATTCTTTAAAAATTTAAGAAGGAAAAAAATCTAAAATTATGTTATTTTAACAAAATACTGCAGAAAAAATATCAAAATAATTTTTTTTTAATGGAAATCATTAGCTGCTTTCATTGCAAACCGTAAAAAACAAATTCAAGTTCAGGAGCAATCAGCGGCAACCAAAGACATGAGAAAAGGCCAAAAACCTTCAATATATAAAAAACGTGGAGCAGATAACTGGAGAGCATCCCGCGCCAGTTCATGGGCCACCTTAATACTATCTCTCCTGATATGTACAAAGGAGATATGGTGATGCCCAGATGCAATCGTTCTAATACTGTTAATAATAGACCCCACAACAGATAACACAGTCTGCTGTTGGATGATAGAATGACCTGCAATGGAGGAATCACTTTCCACCACAATATTTTTAAAGCCCAGCTCCCAAGCACATTCTTTTTATTTTTATTTTTTATAAAAATGCTACCAAGCACATTCAATCCCACCCAAAACAGCAATCTTATTCTTATTTTAAAAGTAGATTATTTTAATCATCTTCAAAAAAAAGTTAATCCAAATGATATAATTTTTAATTTTTCTTAATTTTTATAAATTTAATTGATAAACACCTTATTTAATTTAATCTTAATATAGAATTAATTACTAAATGTATAAATAATAAAAACCAAAAGTCAAAAGCTAAAAACATATTAAATAGAGTATAAATTTGAGTATAAATTTACATGTTTTTGCTATAGAAACAAGTTAATGGTGTTTTTTCAGTATCTTCTAATTTGAAAAATATCTTTTGGAATAAAAAAAAAAAAAACACTATGGGATTATGAAAAATTAGAAGGTGTTGATGGATGTTGTTGTAAAAGGTCAAACTCGGACTCAGATAGTTTCCACGTCACCAAGACCTACCTTGATCTAAGCGTCTATTAATGCCTTCAACGTGCATTTATCAAAAAGCCCAGCAATATCTAATGTTGTAATACATGGTTAGGCCCAGCGATATCAAATGCTACAGTACATAGCTGCATCGCCAGAAATACATAAGGAAATCTCTTTCCTTTATTATTTCCTTATTTATTAAATTCCATCATTTTCATCAACTGATCACTATTCCTTTATGCAAGTCATCAATAAACCCATGAATTCAAGCTCATGGGGATATTCAGGATAAACTATGGGAGTAGTGGCTTGGTAGGCATGGATGGATGAACTTTGCCTATTTGGAGAAGCGAGGTATTCATGCCAGTGAAGCTTGGCACTAGTGATGTTGCCCAACTTCGTTAGAAAGGGTTAGGTGGCAAAGATGTGGAGGCAAACTTGATCCCTAAAACGATACCGTTTGATGCTAACTAGAAGCTTAAAATCCCGTTCAAAACCAATCAGAGATGTTGTTTTGGTCACCATTAGCAAGTTGCAACTGTATTTAATGCAAAGGTGGTTGCACAGTGTTGAAAACTGCTGAAAAGGGTGGTTGCACAAGTTCCGTGGCCTTGAAAATTGTTGAAAAAGATTGTATTTTGTCTAGGAAATCTACTAATATCTTGGGTAGCCCTTAGAAATCTACCAAAATCTTGGCCAGATCTGATTTTGTCGGTTGCACTCAATTATCCCCCCAAAAATGAAATTTCGTATTGCTGGAGAATTACCAAAAATGGACAATCATCAGCAGATTAGCAATACTTCGTTGGAACTAGCGGTACTTCATTGGAACTAGCGGTGCTTCATTGGAACTAGCGGTGCTTCGTTGGAACTAGCGGTACTTCATTGGAACTAGCGGTGCTTCGTTGGAACTAGCGGTGCTTCGTTGGAACTAGCGGTACTTCATTGGAACTAGCGGTGCTTCGTTGGAACTAGCGGTGCTTCGTTGGAACTGGCAGTGCTTCATTGGAACTGGCAGTGCTTCGTTGGAACTGGTGGTGCTTCGTTGGAACCATTAGATAATTCATAATATCATTGCCAAAAAGCTATCAGCAATGCTCAGGGCCACTCAAAACTCGACAGCTCACTCAAATCTACCCATTAGGCCATTGTACACCTCCGATCCACTAACCTAGATATTACAAAAATGCCATTACACACACACACACACATATATATATATATATTATTTTCCCTTCATTTTTCAACAGATTACAAGAGCTTTCACAAATCTAACTTTCTTCCTCATGTACCAAACTCCCATTTTTCCTTTGAAAAATCCTTCATCTCCAACCTCTCCCCAAATACACCAAAATATCTAGAAACCACCATTTTTATTATATTTTCTGCACTTCCAACACTGTTGAGCAATTTCCAGACTTGTAGAACATCATGGCTGGGAGACATCATACGTACTGTAGATTCATTTTCCAGGTTATCTTCATGAGCATCAAAGGTTCAAGCTGAAGAGTTAGCATCAAAAACGGGATCAAGCCTTCCACTCACAAACCCCCATGATGGTTATCCTTCCTTTTCCCATCACTACTTTCAAGTTTGTTCTTTTTGTATTGTTAAAGCTTGAAGGAGATTATTGTACTTTTTATCTACAATGTGAGGGTTGCTCATTATAGAGTAGGAGTATTTGTCAAGGATAATAGAGGGCACATTCATTGTCTTTGCTATTATGCTACAACATATCATGTAAAAATGTGCTTCTCAAGTTATAATTTTCAACCCTTACATATTTTCTATCCTTGTTGCTCCTACAGCAATGTCCATTTCATTTTCATTATTTTTGGTAGTTGTGTAATCATTCTTGTTATCTTGGGAGCACCATTGTCACCCCACCCTTTTTGGCTTGGTTGGGGATGCTTTATTCATAAGTTTTGCCAGAAAAACACTATTTTTGAACTTCGCTGGAGAAATTCTACTTCTAGACTTCGTTGGGGGATTTGCTACTAACCAACATCGTTGGACATCTTGGAACTCTATCATCACTACTAGCTCTCCTTCTCGGCTTGGTTGGAAAACTTACACCTTCAGATTTTGTTGGGGAATTTGCTACTGACCAACATCGCTAGGTAGAACAAGACGGCCCGTGGCATGTAGCCTCTTGCATGTGAAACAGGTGCTGCCAAAAAAACCCTCCTCATCATTCACGGGTGGCATCCTAGTCAGCCTCCACATCATCACCGTTGCTGACTCATTAACCTACATCACTAGCACACCCTCAACAAAAGGCAAATGCTATGAATGATAATAAAAAAGTTTTAAATATTTTTAATAAATTAACACACAAAAAAGATTAATTCATTAAAAGCATTTAACTAATTTTACAACCCATCTTGATATTTTAAATATCTAAACATTCTAATTTTCACTTTTCTCAAAAACTATTATGAACCTTGTACATATTTGATTTACTATAAAGGGAAAAAGGGAAATGTGGTTTGTATTGATATCAGTCTAGATTAAACTCAAATACAAAAAAGGTATAGAAATTTTATAATTATAAAAAAGCTACTTCAAAATTTAAAAAATGAAAATAGGTATATTGAGGGAGATAGAACCAATGCACATCTAACAAAAGTTTTTCTCTATATAAGAACTCTTTGAAAAAAGTGAAATAGCATCCCATGAAATCTATTTAAATGAGAATCCAACATATTCTCTTCATAAAATCACTGGTTATTAGAAAATTTTGAGTTACTTAGACACAAGAATGACATGCATTGCCCGATCAAATATATTTGTTGAATTAAGGGAAGCATTATATACACTACACTTTTTTCTCCTTCACAATGGTTATTTTCCCATGAGCTTTTTCCTAACAAGCTTCTTAATGAGCTAGTTTACCTAACATATAATAAAAGGTGAACATCAAAGGGAGAATATTATGAACCTTCATTTTGTGGATGTTTCATCTTCCTCGTCTTTAACTTTCCTCACTTTCCCATGCATTTACATACTCAACATTACGGTTGTTGATATGCCAAAATGGACAGAGTTGCCATCTATCCAAATGAGGTGGGATAGAT